GCAATCGAGCATACAAGGTTTCTTATCACAAGTCGTCTGAAAAACCGTCCACTATCTTTGGTAACTCAACGGTTCATCACAGTTTCAAACAATTCAAACCCGTGTCCGTGTGAAGTCAATTCCGAATTCCGATCAATTTCGCAGTACTCTTCCGTGTTGTAATAACAATTTTCTTAGCTGACTCGCTCTGAGACGTGAGTAATCAATCTCTGTAAGTCCACTTACGATTTAATTAAAATGCCACGTACCAAGAGAAGAACCGTCAAGCGTTCGTCTGYGGCCGACATGACTACTGTGAATGCAACSATGGCCAACCAATCGAAAAATCTGAAAGAAATTTTGAGCGAATTTGATTGTGAAAGTAATATGAATACTATAGCGCCTATTATCCAACTTGTATGTTTAATTTATATTTGTTTTTCGTTTTTCAGAACAAAATATTGAAGATTATTTTTCTGATATATTTGATACCCAAAGAAATTTGATCGAAAATTCATTTTTAATGACAAAAATGAATTTGGGTGAATCACTTCATTGTAATCTTTATGAAATTGTGAGTTTTATAACATTATCTATTAAATCTATTTTATTTTGGAACATAATACATTTTAGATAGGTACCTGTTACCTGTTGAATTTTAATCAAATAATATCAATCATATTACACAGAAGTTATCATAATTTACCTTTACAGATTTTTAAACAGTATCCATTAAAATCCAATAGTGGAACTAAAAAAAACCTGGAACGACCTTCAAGGCCAGTTACCAAAGCTACAGTAAATAGGACAACTAGACAAAAAAGTAGTAAGTTCCTATTTAAAACTAAATTTCAGAAATTGTTTTTGATTTTTAATTTTCTAATTGACATAATACTCAATAGTTTTCATATCAATCTGTTTTGATTCAATCTATTATGGTCGGTAATTTAAGCTTTATGAAATACTATAAACAACAAATAGATTTAAAAATTTCTAAATAATCTATGTGAATTGAATTTGATTTCTAATATCACATTGGTAATAGTTTAAATTTTAAAAGAGGAAAATTGTTCTGCTGTACAGTAGAAGACTAATGTTTTTCATGATTAAGAACAGTTAAATTGATGATGTTTTAAATTTGGTTGTACAGATCATATCAAATKAAAAAGTTTGCAAAGAAAAGATGGTCTAATTTTTTGATAACCTTGCTTACAAATTAATTATTTATATTATAATACTCTTAAATTTTTAACAAATGTTAATATTTTTGTTTAGTTTATTTCAATTATTTTCATTTCTGAAAAGTAAGAACCATATTTAATTTGCTACAAGAAATATCCWTGAAAGTTGATAATCAGGGTATTTTCCCTCTAAGTCAAGCGTCTTTAGACCCACAAAAAAWWWTTTTAAATAAAATACATATTTCATTTCAAAATCAATTAAGTTATTGTTACACTCAGTATTTTAAAGTATAAAATATCAAAATCACCATACAAATCCTTTAATCTCTGACCTATCATTTGTTTCTATCCCAGGTAACCCAACTATAAGATTAAAAAGACAGTGGTGTCGCGACCTGCTAGCCTAAGTGAATATATGTACAATAATAACCTAGCCTAAGAAAATCTTACTCATGTCGTAGTACCTTCACTGGGAGGCCTCTACAATCCGTCAAATCTGCCATTTTATATATTATTATTATTATTATTATTTTTTTATCTTAGCTTCTATTATCAATTATTCTTATTGTTTTCCTTTGAAACAGATTGAATAAAACATAATAATACACGCAAAAAAAAAATATATCAAAATAAAACAGATATATTGTAGTTAAAAATCACGGATATATTTATGAACATGATTCACTGTGGTACAAAATATTTAATATATATTATATCATGTAGCATGAAACCATTACATGTTGTACCTAAGYCTTTTAGATCAATTTAGTAAACCTAACACTAGTATAATCAAGTTATGTATAATTATGCATATAATATAATCTATGATCTAGCATAATTAGGGAATTATTTACAACAATTAAATACTAAGAAGAAGGAATGGTTTTATAAAAAAATTTTGTAGTTATAGTACAAAACAAAGTTTCAATATCTGTATTCCTAGCAGATAAGTTTCAGGCATTTTGTTTAAACTATAATATCTAATAATAAATTGTTTATTTTTCAGTGTCTAGTTCAACATCTAAGACCAAACGTTCTGTCATTGAAACAAAACACCGTAGTGCAACACGTAATGTTGATAATAAGCCACTATTAACAGAAACAATAGAATCTAAATTTAAAGTAAATATATTATATTAATAATTTATTTAGATAAATAAGAAATTTTTTTTTTTTTTTTTTGTAAGGAGAACCCGCGGCAACATAGGCCATTGGGTGTGGGGTGGTACGGTAGGGATTATATTTGTATGTTTGTTTGTATGTGTGTGTGTGTATGTGTATGCGTATGTGTGTGTGTGTGTGT